CTTATTCAGAACATATCATAACTAAAAGAATCCCTTTTACTATCTTATGTGTAAATCACTAACTTTGGTTCAATTAGATTTTAGTTTCTCTGTGCTATTTATTATAGTTTGGTGTAAATTTTTAAATTCTTTCCATTTTCTGCCTATGACCATTTTCAAATTGAGCTCAGTCAAAGGGAGTTCACAGGAATATTTTTAAAATTAAAAGGGAAAATAAGTGTTGAGCCTTTAGCATAGTCTTGGCATACTATAAAGGCTCACTAAGTGCTGTTATTAATGTTTGAGGCCCCTCACTTTTCCCCCACTCTTTATTGAGTCCAAAATTTTACTTTCTACACCCTCCCATCTCTCTAGAGATGTTTCTCTTTTAGGTCTCATAAGCACTACTCTGAACCACTGGCCATCTCCTATCCTTAGGCTCAGGAATTTGACAAACCTCTATCACAAAAGCAAATTCTTGGGGTTCTTTCTTTCCACATCACCAAGTTGTTCTTGGGTGACAATCAAATGAACACTAGAGAAGCAGTTCTTCCCATTTCCTTTTTATGAAAGACAATGCTATCATTGAGATAAGCCTTTGTTTGGTTTTGGAAGACAGTAACTTAAATGGCAGACATCTGTCTGTCCATTTGCTTGTCTATCCACCTATCTAGCCATCCATCCTATTCTATTTAAGAACCAAAAATTTTCAGTGCACCTCATAACCTAAAGATTACTGGACCTTACATACTCATAATTCAGATTGTACCATCAACTTGTGAAGTAGCTTTTATCACCCCACTTTAGAGATGATAAATCAGGGCTGAGAGAGATTCAGGATATACTAATGGTGGCCAAATAAGATTTTTAGTTGCAACTTAGTACCAGAATACTAACTGGCAAGATTTCTCCATGCTAGATACTAGGAGAGTGTCAACCATATCCAGCAAGGAGGCTCCTGTAGAATGATTACTTTTATCAATATTTTACCACTTGCATTACTAATTATTTGACACATCATTTATGTCAAAACACCACCTGTATACTTTTATATCCTTATCTAAAATGTCTTCAACATCCACTCATTAAAATTTTTTGAGCACTTCCCACATACCAGATACTGTAATTTCAGAATTTCCATAGTGGTGTATGTATTCTCTAACAAATGAGTCTACTCTTCTTAGCCGCTGTGTATTCTATCCAACCTGCTCATGAACCACTTCTATGCTCAAGGCACTGTGTTTTACTGCTGCACTACAGCCACAGTACCACAGAAGACCCAAGTCCCTGCCTCAGTGGAGCTCACAACCTACTAGAGTGAAAAAATGGAAGTAATTCAAGTTCAAGGTCAACTAAGATTAGTGCCTTCCTTAAGAGATAAAAAGCCATACAAGGACAACTAGGAGAAGGTGCTTGAGATGGGTTTGAGTGGTATCTGGAGAGGGTGCAAGGCATGTGCTGGGGAGAGTAGAGGGCAGGAGAAGAAAAGATGGAGAAGGGAAGATGGCATGAGGGGACCCATGGAACAATAGCTCGTCCTTCCAGCTGAAGTAGACTGCATAGAGAGCCAGACTGAGTGACAAATTGGAAAGACTGGCTGGAGGTCCTGAGGTGGAAATCCTGAATGCCCAGCTGAGGCATTTCTACCATATTCAATTTGGAATGGGAAGGCACTCAAGGTCTTTGGGTCAGGAGTAACTTGACCCAAATTATGTTTTATGAGTAGTAATGAGGTGCCCATGGGCGCGATGACTTAGGGAGAGAGAGTAGAAGGAGAAAGCTCAGTGGCAAACTCATTCCTTGGCTTCTTCATTAGCTACATTTTAGTTTGTTCCTGGAGCTCACGTGGGCCCAGACAGCCTAATCCTGCTCCTTGATACCATCTGTGCAGTCACACTCCTTCCTCTCCCAAGTCATGGATTCATAAAAGACCAGTACAGAGAAAGAGGTGTTTTATTTTTCATTCAGGTGTTTTAAGTCAGTAGAGATACATTTGGATTTCTTCTGATGCCTTTCCTGTTTTCCATCCAAATTAACACAGCCTCACCCAGCTGAATAATCTGTGGAGCTCACCATCAAGGGACACAATAATCCACCCCATGAAGTATGTCACCATGGCCACTACTGAATGCCTCTCTGGGGAGTCAAAACCACACATCACCTCTTTTCCATGGACCCGAGAGACCCCTAACTTCTCTTTATTGTTGCAAACACAAGAGACTACTGCTCTTTCCTAGAACTTTCATGTATGCCAGTGATGGTAAAGATTTGTTCTTTTCCCATTGTTCCAGAAACAACTTCTTTATGCACATTCTTTAATTCTCCTGGCTTTGATACTATACAAATTCCTCTCTGTTTTCTGATTTCTGGATTTTTCCATTGATGAGCCACACCCCCACCACCCATTTTCTATGAACCATTCATCTTCCTGATAGAGGGAAATATGTGTGTGTGTGTGTGTGTGTGTGTGTGTGTGTGTGTGTAGTCGCTTTCCATTATTATGACAAAATACCAAGATCAACAATTTAAAAGGATGAAAGGTTTATTCTGTTTCATGGTTTCAGAGGTTTCAGTCTGTGGTTTGTTGGCTCCATTGCTTTGGGGTCTGAAGTGAGGCAGAGCATCATGATGGGCAATGTGTGGTGGAACAAAGCTGCTCACCTCATGGAGGCCAGAAAGCGAAAGGAGAAACAGAAAAGGACCAGGGTCCCAATATCCACTTCATATCCCCATGACCTAACTATATCCAAGTAGATCCCAGCTTCTAAGTATTTCACCATCTCCAGTGAGATGCTGGCACAGGCTGGCAACCACATCATCAGCACATGGGCCACGGTGGGGGACACTTGAGATCCAAACCACAAAGGAGGTGCTCACTGACCCTTTCATTTCCCTTGTAATTTCAATCAGTTGACATTTATAGCTGCATCACATAATGGAAGATTCTTCAGGAAAAACATTTAACCAGTCCTTCACTCATTTATCCTCCTGCCTGAATATCTAGTGCTACCCTTGCCTTCCTGGAGTGAATGGGCTGAATCAGTTCAGGGGAAGTTGTTTCATCAAGTTCCCCAGCACCGCAGACTCTCCACAATGGGTTCACACAGACTGGCCAATCTAGAAACAGAGGGTGAGATGCAGTAAGGCTGAAAAGTGAAGTGCAGAGTTGTCACTCTAAAGAGTACCTTCCAGCAAGTAAGTTCAAGAGAACATCTTCCTATGGCATCTGAAATAGTGAGAAGCTGCTGACCATGGGTGGAGAGCACAACTGTTAGCTGGGTTGTTGGGAAAGAAGCAGCCCCTTTGACAGAGGTGAGGCAGAGGGGGCTATCTGACTTGGAGCAGAGAGATAGGCTGTCACCCCAGCAGGCCAGAGGATGGGGCCAAGGGGTCAGGAATGGCTGACAATGTCCCCAGGCTCTATTACCTGACACACTACAGACTCCTGAGAGCCAGGAGCCACAGACTGAGGGAGCAGACTTGGAAATGGGTAAAGGAGGGAAGGAGAGTGCTGGAACTTGACATGTTGTTACCCTATAGTCCTAGCAAAGCTAAGAATTAGGAATTTCTTTCAGCTCCTAAGCCTACAGATCTAAGGGTTCAGTCAAAAGTAAAAACCTGGGCCCGGGGATGTAGCTCAGTGGCACCACACTTGCCTGGCAAGCACAGGGTCCTGAGTTCGATCTCCGGTACCAAAAAACAAAAGTAAAAACCTAAAAGAGACTGTGAAGTAATAGGAAGTCTCTACCTTCTTAGAGCAATCTGAAATAAATATAAAACCGAGGCAGAAGAAATAGCCCTCCCATTTTATTAAATGCATTAGGCAATAGCGTATCTGTCACATTCCTCAGTAAATGGAAGGGTTTTGTTTTGTTTTGTTTTTTGGTGGTTTTGAGACAGGCTCTCACTATGTAGTCCAGGCTTGCCTTGAACTCACAGTGATCCTCTTGCCTCAGCCTCACAAGTGCTGAGATTACAGGTAGGTCCCACCATGCGTGGCTCCTCAGTAAATGAGAATGGGTGTTGTCCCCATAGCACGGGTGGAAAGGAAAAACAGTGACCTTTTTGGGGGGGTGTCATTTCTCAGTGTTTGGAGCAACTCACTGTAGCAACAAAACAGATGACTGCAAAGGGATGAAAAGAGCTGTGGAAAGTGGCATGAAGCAGACAGAGAAGACCTGTTTGTTCTGTTCAGCTGTGAAGGAGCACTTTCTCCCTCGAGGCCAGCGAGGTTCTCACACAGCTGGGAGTTAGGTCTGCTCAGCCACTGGGACCCAAGGGAACATAAGAATAATATGGGTAGACTGTTTATATTCTCCCCATCAAATTCACATACTGAAGTCCTATTCCTCAATCTAATGGTATTTGGAGGTGGAACCATTGGGAGGTCATTGTGAACACCTGTAATTCCAGCACTCCAGGAGGCTGAGGCAGGAGGATGGCAAGTTCCAGCCCAACCTGGACAACTTAGTGCTGAGGGTAAGACCTTCATGATGGGATCCATGCTCTTTTAAGAAGAGACATGAGAGAAATTGGTCTCCCTCTGCTGTGTGAAGAGACAATGAAAAGATGACCATCCAGAAGTCAGCCAGTAGGCCCTTAACAGGAGCCACATCTGCCAGCACTTTGCCCTCAGACTCCCCAGGCTCCAGAACTGTGAGAAATAAATCTCTATTGTGTATACCACCTACTAGGTGGCATTTTGTTATAGCAGCAAGAGCTGAAGGAGAGAGTGACCTCTGATCCTGGGTCTTGTTTCTTCCAGAACCAGACTGAGAATAACATGAAGGCATGGGACAATGTCAAAAGACAACTTGGCCACTAGCAATTCTTCATTCTTTCTCCCAATACTGCCATACCTCCCCTGAGTAAAACAAATGTGCAAAAAGAACATAAAATTGGACATGAAATGAACAACTGGTGAACATAAAGTTGTACAATGGAAACATCATAAGGAATTCCAAAATCCTAGAATAGGAGAAAGGGATCTTTAGGAAAGTCATTTCTACAATTTTGCTTACCTTTGTTTAAGCGTCCCATCACAGTAAATTCAAAATATTTGCTGTTGTCAGTTGAGTAGAGGCCAAAGATGGTGGCTGAGCTTTTAGTCTGCAGCTTGAAAGTGGAGATCATGTACAGCTCGCTCAGGGCGGGGTCTTGCAGGACGGGCAGCAGAGCACCAGGATTCAGCCTCTGACTGGAGGTTGGGAGGAGGTCGAAGACTGTGGAGTGGGGAGAAAGGCATTCAGTAAATAAGGTAAAAATTTAAATGGAAAGATAAACCTTGGGGAAACATGGTTGTGGGGTATTTGAAAATAAGGTACAAAATAATATAGTAAACTAATTTTGTATCACTTTTTACACTGCCAAATTCACCAGCTTTTCCCCCTCATTTTGGCAGTGGCTGGACATTTGAATTAGAATTATAGCAAAATATTCATCACTGGTTATAGCCCTTAAGAAAATACTCAATTTGCAAACTTAAAATTGGATTTGGCTAAACAAGTGGCTCTGAAAATGTCCTCTAGGAAAAACACTGAAGACTTCAAGTACAAGGAGAAAAAGTGAGAGCACTCAGCTTGTTTTTCTCAGGCTCTCCAGCAGTGAATTTCAGCCATGGGGTCCCCTATGTATGTCTAGACCCAACAACATTTTTCTGGTCAATGACAAATGACAGGGAAAGCAGCAGAAAGCATGAAAGTGGTGTTAGACATACAGTTGGCAAGTTGATTAGCTGCTTTTGTGAGACTTGAGTGTTTGTTCCCTTTTTGCCTTTACAATTTCTAATAATTTTTCTGCTTAAAAAATTCTCATTGTCCTGGGCATGATGTTGCACGCCTGTGATCTCAGCTCTTGTAAGGCTGAAGCAGGAGGATTGCTATGAGTTTGAAGCCAGCCTGAGCTGCATAGTGAGTTCAAAGCCAGCCTGAACTACATAGAGAGACCCTGTCTCAAAAAAAAAGAAGAAAGAAAGAAAGAAGGAAGGAAAGAAAGAAAGAAAGAAAGAAAGAAAGAAAGAAAGAAAGAGAGAAAGAAAGAAAAATTCCACTGTAGAAACAAGCAAAATGATGTGTTTTCTACTTCTCAACTGCATGCTGCTGGATACAGCTGGTCTACAAACACTAAAATCTGCATGTGTATTTATAAAAGTTGCTTTTGATCAAGCAAGCAGCACTTTTCCCAACAGCTTTATAAGACTTATGAAGGCTAAGACCTATGTGACAACAGAGTCATTTAAAAGGCAAAGGACAGATCTGAACAATACTTACTAGAAGCTACTTAGACTTTCTGTGACTTTGTGAAAATATTGTTTGAACAATTTCATACCCAGTAGGAATCTCAGCAACTAGAATTGTCTTCTGGATACATAATCTGATTACTGAAAGGAGAGTACTGATAATTTATAGAGAACTTTTAAAATCAATAAAATAAGCATCCTTATGGAAAAATGAGGAAAGAACATGAAAAGGCAAGTTGCAGAAAGAATTACAATTGACCAACAGCTATACAAATATACATTCATTGGTTACCTAATGATGAAGCAACCTACTAGAATATTATTTTCACTATCAATCTGAAAAGATACTAATATAATATTCAATTGTTGCTGAGGGTTCAGGGAAATGGACCCTCTTATATACTATGTGGTAAGATTTAAACCAGTATAAACATATTGAATACAATTTAAATAACAATACCAAAGGTCCCAAAAAACACATGCTCTTTAGCCTATCAATTGTACTTATGGCAATTCTAAGGAAATAATGGATAATATGGTAAATGATTTCATTACAAGGATATTTGTCATCAATGGTAAATCTAGAATTTCTGTTTGGGGAGGAGGTAAAATTTTAAGTGCAAGAGATGAGAATCCTGGAGATGTGGTTGGCATAATACCTTGCCATGAAGACATAGACAGTCCTTAGGAAAGAAGAAAGGGCTTGACAGAAGTGAAAGGGATGGTTAGTGTTGTTCAATAAATTATGATTTGCAATATCAAATACTGGAAACAACTTCAGTGTTCTACATTACAAACCTAGGCAGAGTAATTCTGGTCAGAATAGCATCTATTTTAAAATGCAGATAAATACTTACAGACATAAAAAGGTATTCATGATAGAGTAAGTGAAAAGAAAGATGATAAATCTCTGTAACATGATTCCATTTGACGTATTTGCATAGAGATTTGAAATGAAAGACAATATAACAACAGGTTAACATTAAAAGTGACTATCTTTGGATTGCAAAAGTTTTTGCTCTATTTTTGATTATTCAGTTTCTATTTTCAGTGCTTTAAAACGAATAGTATTGCTTTTGTACTAAGTAAAAAATGAATGAAAGAAACAGGAAAACCCTAGTTATTCAAGAACATTCTTTTAAAAGATAATTTGTCTTCAAACTAGATCTATAATGTTTCACATATATGAGAGGACCTTACACAACAATGGATTTAACACTAGACATATTGGAAGCCAGAATATCCATTTGCTCCCTCTAACAGTCCACATCCCCACACCATGAAGACAGCTGTCTACTGTATGTCAAGGGATAAAACGGATTTTTTAATTTCCAGAGAAATGGAAACTTTACATTTTCACCAATGAGGTCAAAGGCAAGATAAGGCAAGGTGTTTAAAAGTTCCATTCAGGAAAAGACACCTTTAGAAAAAGAGATGTGTGATCAAAATGCGAGCTGCATTCAAAACTAAACTCTTGGTACTCTTGATCCTTGCTTTGACTTTGATCAGGTCCATAATTTAACTCAAGCCGAACTTGCTATATTTCAATCAGTGCAGTTTATCTTATCCATTTGCTGCTCTCCCAAGAGGCAAAGTTGGGATTAGTTAGTAATGACTTCAGAGAGCATTTTGAAAAGGAAATGAGACACTACCATTTTCTACTAATGTTATTACATTTTAGTAAAAGTATCAAGATCCAAGCACATGCTCTAGTGCTAGAGGTGAAGTTACTGCTACCAAAGAGCCCAACTATTATGGTATGCAAATTGAATAGATACTAATTTAAGACTAGCAATGCAGCTCAGGGGGAAAAGGATATATGCAAATTATCCAGTTGAGCTGATAGTTGCAGACTAGCTAGATAACTCAATAAAAGACTACCAAAAACTTGACCTAATTAGATCATCTATGCCACCTAAATTAACAAGATAATTTAGGTTGTGTGTCCCAATTTTAAATCTCAATAAAACTGCTAGGTTCTTATTTTTCCATTTTTTCCATTTCTCATCATTTTTTCCTTCCCCTTCTTTCCTTTCCCCTGCCCCTCCTACTACCCCTACCCCTTTGGACCTTTTCTTCCTATTTTACATTATCGATTATTCATTCTCATCATTGGTACATTTTAGGTATACAATATAATGACATTCATCATTGGAAATTTGCACCTTTACATAGTCTCTCTTGGTTCTAATTTTTCACCCTTGCCCAGCCCTCCCTTCAACCCCTCCAGTCCTCCCTATTTACAAAGATTTTGTTCCTATTTTTCCATTTTCTCATATTAATCCCATTCCCTTCTATCCTTTCCCCTAGCCCTCCCACTTCCTTCCCCTTTGCCCCTTTTCTTCCTATTTCACACGACCTATTATACATTATTTAGTCCTTATGATTCATTATGTAAAGGTACAATTCCCAATGAGAAATGTAATTGTGTTGTATACCTACAATGTACCAATAAAAGAATTTAATACAAAAAAAAATAAAACTGCTAGGTCTAGGCAGCATTATTTGTATCTAAAGCACACCATGCAGTTGTGTATTCAAATATCAGGAATTTCTATAACCTAAAACATTATTCAAACCTGCCAAAGAGCCTCTGCAATAAGAAAACTTTTAAATTGTGCTTTAAAATTTCTTTTCTTACCTCTGAGACTCACAGGACACGATGCATATTACAAACAATGGTATTTAAAATATTTCAACCCAAACCAAGATTAGCAGCACAGTACCCCCCAAATCATGATTCTGATTGCCTCAGCTGGAATCAAAATGATTAATTTGATGAAATGGGAAGTTTCAATGGAGAAGAGTGAGGGGAGTCAGAGAATACACTCTTCATCCTGGCTTCACAAGGAACAACAATTTTAACTTCAAACTGTGTGTCTCTTTCAGTTTTATTTCCCAAATCTATAATAAACCAACCTAGGCATCAAGTTCAGATAGGAAGACCATCACCCGATAGCCAGTCGGAGCTCTAAGGTCTTTTCTTGCTTAAATCATTTCTTCCTTTTAGTCTTCCTAAGAAATTCTGTTTAACTGTGAGTGCTTTCTGCCGGAGCCTATTTTCACCCCATTTCACAGAGGGATGTGAGACTATCTAGGTATCTTCTCAAAATATTTATCAAATGTTTATTTTTTGGGTGAAAAAAGAGCAATTTTGCAGCCCTTCTCACTTATGTCAAGAGTCAAGAGATGAAACTGGCTCCTGAAAGGGCCTTTGCTGTGGTGCCACCCAATGGAATAACGCCAGGCTGGTCTCAGGGAGTGCGGGTCGCAACCCGGTCAATCACCGCTTCCAGCCCAGCCTACCGCGGGGACTTAGGGGGCAAAGGCTGCGTAGAGGGACAAAGCCATGGCGGACAGACCCATCCGGATACCCCTGGGATTGCACCGTGCACCAGCTGCTCCTGAGAGGACCAGGGTCCTGTGACTAGCTTTGAAGCCAACCCCAAGTCTTCGCATAGATGTGCTAATAAATGTTACGCCTCCAACACTGTTGTTCGGGGAAATGGTCACATCACCTCGCTGACTGGGTACTCGGACTTCAGCACCTTCTAGTCTCTGCCCATCACTTCCAATCCCAGTGCACTTTGATTCGGATCGCTGGGGGGCGGGCACTCACCCTGCGGGGCGGCCTGGGACCCCAGCCACGGCTGCAGGGCCAGGTGCATCAGGAGGGCGGCGGCGGCGAGGCGCGGGGCCTGCATGTCTGGGCTCTGCTCCTGCTCCGCGGGGAACGCGCTGCCCGGGGTCCACAGGAGTCTCTGCCGTCCGAAGGGCGCTGCTGCCCGACTGGGCTCTGCGGACGCCGCCCGCGCTTTATGGCCCGGCCGGCCAGGGGCGGGAGGACCGAGGCAGGACGGCCCCTTGGCCCAGATCCCCCTGGCCCAGAGCGTGGGAGGCAGGAAGGCGCGGGCGCAGCCGGGTGGGCGTCGGGGGCTGCGGAGACGGGCGCGGGTGGGGGAACGGTGGCGCCGCCTCCCAGCTGTGCTCCCTCAACCCCTCTCCTCTGGATCTCCGGTTTTCTAAAGAGCCCACCCCCTGGTCAGGCTTCTGGCGCCCCCTTGGCCCCTCTGAGGGGATCTTGAAGTCCAGGAAAGTTCTGTCCCCTCGAGTGGTCCGGAGAGCAACGGGCCTCTCCTATTTCTTCACTCATTTCTTGATTGGTGAATACATTTTTTAAATCAAGTTTTAGTTTGAGAGTGTTAGAGTTTTTAATGAACACAAGGAATCCATCCACCCGTCTCAAGGACACAGCTGTATATAGGATGGCGGGGCTGTGTTACATGAATTTTTCCGCAGTCCAGTTTCCAAACAACCAGGCTGCCCCCTTCTATTCCCTCCCTCCTAAGATTCCATGTGAAACATTAAGGTGTGGAGCTAGACTGGAAAGGGGTGGAAAGAACATAATTAGTGCTCTTCTTAGGCAAGGGTTCCTGAGAATGATGTGGACTAACAGGAAGAAGCAATATGTGAAAAACAGTGGCAATTTTTCCTTCTGTAACAATCTTGACTAATGCAGAGGATCCAGTGGAGTGTTTCTACCCTATCTTTTATAAACAGTGCCATTTCAAAGTTTCAGAAGCTATCTGCCACCAACTGGAAAGTTTAACCAACCTTCTTATGTCAAAGCTATGCTGGATCAGTCCTCACCGAGTATGATTCCATTCGCAGCTGGTGATCTACTGGTGTGAGTTACTTCCGAGCTCTCTTCTGCTTGTGGTTGTGTACAGGAGTATCCAGGCTTCCTTTGATGGCATGGTACACGAACACCGATAGATGGGACGAATCACCGTATATCTACTGATAAGAGAACACTGAGGAGACAAAAGAAGGTTGTGTGTACATGCTTGCTTACAACATGACTGTAACTAATGAGATAGATTAAATGTGGGAGTCTGCAGGTCCCCAAATTGTAGCCCCAGGACTGACCTGGGCTGGAGGGGAATCCAGGTTCCCAAATTAAGTTTCAAGCAGAACAGTTTTGCATTTATATGTTATATACAGTGGGCTTCAGAGTAAGATATTCTTTGAAGAGAGTGTTTGGATATCCAACACTGTTCAGTGGCTCATGGCTGATGGATATTTCTATTCTTTGGGAAGCTTTAAAAAACACAGATTAGGTACCTTCAGGGAACAAGGAAAACCAAATATCAAAAGGAGCAATGAGCATAGTATATAGTGTTGCACCATAGCTTACTTTCACCCTTAAAATAGGACCACTCCCTAAATGAATCGCTGGGGAGGACTGGAAGATGCCTGTGAGTTCTTGTGTGTTCCAGACATCACCTGTTTGCTTTCCCATCAGTTCTCCTCTCCCCTCTGTACCTGCCAGCAGTGTGGATGAAACAGGACATAACAGAATGATGAGGAGGTGGAAGGTAGAACTGAGTGTGTCTTTGTGACTCTTGTAGATCAACCCCACCATGGTTCTAGCCTCTGCTCTATCATCCCTTGTTCCTCTGGCCACTGCCTCACAGTTCCTGTTTGGCTTCTTAGTTCTTCTATCATTTATGTAACCATTTCTCTGCATGGAATTTCTTCTATGACAAATACCTAGAATGGTTTTCTGTTATCTCTATGTATGTAAGTAGAACTAAACTGTAAGTTCTGTGAAGGTAGATACCTTTTTTTAGTCATCTTTGCTAGGAATCCCCAATTCCTAGCATATTACCAGCTCATACATGTGGGTACACAATAAATTTCGGTTGGACTAGATGATCACTAAATGTAATGGAGAAATGAAAGAATCAAATGACTGTCTGGCAGCCTAACAGAACTTACCATTTAGTTTTGCTTCCAGAGAACCTGCATTTTTATACCTCCAGGCTTGGGAAGTTTCAGTAAGCTTTGTCTTCATGTCAAAATCAAAAGGAAATTTGATTATAATAAAATTTATTAAATCAGCTATGAAATCTATGGTCAAGGAGGTGAAAGAGTTCATCAATTTTATTTTTGTGCCATCTCAAGGTATCTGTGGTTGAACTTACACTGAGTTTTATTTTACTTATTTTAATAATATATTGATTTATTTAATTTTTTCCCAATATGAGACTATAAGATTATCTCATTTACTTTTTAATACCAATTCCAACTACAGTGCCCAATACTTAATAGTAACTAGGTCATGAAATTCACTTCCCATCTTTCTTAGTACTGTAAACTTGGATGAGAACTACTGTGATGTTAGTGATCCATGTGTAGGCGTGGTATGTTGAAAAATATGGCTGGCTTGCCCAGAAGAATTTTATGTTTTTTAATTTTTATTTTTATCAGTACATATTTGTGGTACATAATGATTACTTTTGTATGTAACACATCTTAACTCTTTTTTATCCCCTCTTCCCCATTCCCTCCATCTCTTGGTTCCTTTCCTTCCCTTTTGCAAAAAAAAAAAAAAAACAAAACTATCATCCTATTTCTTGTTAACTACGTCTCCAGCCCAGATCTCGCTAAGTCACTAAATTTCCCAGGCTGGACTTCAGCTTGCAATCCTCCTGCCTCAGCCTCCCAAGAGTGCTGAGATTATAGGCTCATGCCACTGCATCCAGCTTCTACTGAAATTCTCAAAGGGAATGAAAATGGGGTATCGTTATTAACATTAAAAGATTGTTAAATGGAATATGGTTTACATTGTACTATCTGATGATATTGATACCACAGCACTGGAAAATGTGGATTCTGAACTCATATTTAGCTTATTGTTAATAACAAAGGAATGTGCTTTATTAAATGACGGAAAGATAGATTTTCTACAAAATACTCATCCCACATAAGGCTCTAGTAAATGAAGCATGGGGATTTTGATTAGTATGCAATTAAAAGTAGAAATTTTTTTCCAAATTTAGGAGATATTTTGCTTTAGCAATTAGGCACTGAAGATTAGGAAAGCAAGAACAGAAGTGTGTAAAGTTATTCATTCTCAATCTCACTAAGGGTCTCAGTAGACTGTATAAAACCTCTTATTAAACTTCTCTAATATACTTTACTAAATAATGTGTTAAACTCCTTAAGAAACAGCCATAAGTGCAATTGTGAAGACATTTATTACAGTTAATAACTATGTCTATTGAACTTGAAGCCTAGAGAGTTTTGACAACTAGCATCTCCTAAATTAGTTCTCTCCTTCATTAAACAATACATTAATCCATTCACATATTAAGACTTGTCATATTTAATAACAACAATTATTTCTGTGCCAGGAAAGCTCAAACTTGATGCCAGATGTCTAAATGTATTTGCTAAGCAAATATGGCTCAGATTACAATTAAATAATAGGATAAAACAAACCTGTAAAATACACTAAAATCTCACTCGTTTGGGAGAAGTTCAGAATTTGGGATAATTTTATTTGCTCTAGGTTAAGAGAAGAGGCTTCCTGGAAGAGCTAGATTTTCATATGGGTCAAAAGAGCAAGGATGTACTCTTCAGGTGACAAAGCTAGGGGAGGATATTGCAAGCAGAGGGAATGCGTGTTATATGCAAGACCATTGAGGGAAATGGTAAAGAGATGCCTGGGTTTCTGATCTGGGCATCTTGGACAGTGGCAATTACCATTGCAAGGGGGTGTGTGATGATTTGGCTTTGCTATGTTGAGTTTAAAACATCTTTAAGATGTCCCCATGGAGCTGTCCATCAGGCATCAAATCATCCCGAGTAAGTAAAGTTTCAAATTTGGTATAATTTGACTTGACCTGAGGTCCCTCTATGGGTTAAAAGGGTATGAAAACAAACAATAGCACTACTTGATATCCTGGGGTTATATTTAACCTAACTGAAAGAATTAACACATGAGAGACTTTGGTAGTTAACCATCAATAGGACTATTGATGCTTCTAATTACAAATGACCCCTAACTAGTTCATGAAGGACTTGTCCTGGATAGCTACTATTTTTTCCAGGTCTAAATTTGAAAATTGTGTGTTTAATTATCCAATCATTAACTGAAGTTGTGTGTTGGATGAAATATTTGCCTTCCATGCATAAAATCTTAAGAGTTTATTTTTTATTAATGCAAATGGTTATCCCACAAATAATTACTCTGGGCTCATTCATTAATTCACTCAACAAATACTGACATACTACAAGAGTCTTCCAGAATATCCCCTTGTAGAATATGTGTTTGGTAATGGGCATACAACACTCCTATTCTCCAGCTCGTGGTCTAATGAGGCAAACAAATGACATAAACACAGTGACAAGGACCATAATGAAGATGTGTTATAAGAAATAAGGAAGTATTGAGGAGAAAGAAGCTTATAGAAGATGTCAAAAAATGTCTGAGATTCTGACCTGAGCAAGTTGGTGGATTACAGCATCATCCGCTGAGATACAAAGGGAACGTGAAGATTTGGTTGGCTTTGCCATATTGAGTTTAAGGCACCTTAGAGATGTCTCAATGGGTATGTCTGTTGGGTTCTTAGTTACATGGGCCTGTAACTTGGGAGAGACGTGAGTAGGTATGGGCATCATTAACTTATAAGAGACAACAAAAGTATGGTACAAATAAGACAGCCTAAGAAGAGTATGAAATGAGAGAAGAGTGCTTAAAGTGGAACACTAAGAAACCAGCAGAAGAAAAGGTGGGCAAGAAAGACTCAGTGGTGTCAGAGAAAATCTATAAATGCCAGTGCTGAAAAGATATGGTGAATCATACCAAATATGATGGAGCAGTCAAGCAAGATATGGACTAAACAGTCTTTTTTGAGGGCCTGGGGTGTAACTCACTGGTAGAGCACACACTTTGCATGAACGAGACCCTGGGTTCCATTCTCTGACTATAAGTGAATGAATGAATGAATAAATACATAATCTCCTTGGATTAATCAACATGAGGTCATTGGTGGCTGTGTTAAGAGCAATCTGATG